TTTCATACCATTGTCTACTAGCTTGTTTCAACCCATACAATGATTTCTTCAGTCTGCACACCATATGTGGACTGTCCACTGCAAGACCTGGTGGCAATGTCATATACACTTCCTCATTCAAGTCACCATGAAGGAAAGCATTATTAACATCCAATTGATACAAATTCCATCCCTTCTTGACAGCCAATGTGATAAGGGTCCTAACAGTGGTCATCTTAACCACAGGAGAAAAAGTCTCAGTATAGTCTATACCAGCTTGTTGAGTATACCCCTTAACTACTGGCCTTGCCTTGAACCTCTCCACACTACCATCTGCCTTGTGTTTGATTTTGTATACCCATTTACAGCCAATAGTCATTCTTCTCTTTGGGTAGGAGGACCAGTTCCCAAGTATTGTTTGCATACAATGCTTCAAATTCTTGTGTCATTGCCTTCTGCCAGGCAGGATACAAGATTGCTTCTTCATAGGAAGAAGGTTCACTGTCTTGTGATATGTTTTCAATCAACTGCTGACTATCAGAACATAAAGAGGTGAAACAAACACTATCATGGTTGGACACAAAAGAAGTGAGGGACTGCTGTGGGCTGGAGGTACTTGTAGTGGAATGTAGGTTAGGTAGAGTGTAATTATATTCCTTCAAGTATGTGGGAGTATGAAGTGGTCTAGTTGTTCTTCTAAGGGTAGGTATAACATCACAAGATGGAACAGGTGCAGACATGGATTGTGTGGTGGTTAATGGTGAATGGGTATTCTGTCTTGCAGGTGAGGTTGTGTTTTCAGCAATATCATTTATTACCTGAGTAGTTGGGACTTCATGTGATGTGTTAAAGTCCAGTAATTCATCATTAGAAAGCATACTTGTTGAGTATGGAGTGTAAGTAGAAGTGTTGGAGTGATGAATTAAAAACTTTAAAACAGAAGGAAAACTAGAACCATCAGGAGCAAGTACAAAAGGAAACACAGACTCATGGAAAATAACATCTCGAGATACATGAACTCTTTTGGTAGCTAAATCTAAGACCTTGTAACCTTTTGTATTGAAAGGATAACCAACAAAAATATGTGGTGTTGCCCTTGGTTCAAACTTGTCCTTGTGGGCTTTTAAGGTAGTGGAAAAACATAGGCATCCAAAACTTCTAAGATGAGAGTACGTAGGTGGTGTATGGTACAATAGTTCATAGGGAGTTTTATTCTGTAAAGGTTTAGAGGGCAATCTGTTAATAAGGTATGTGGCTGTTAATACACACTCTCCCCAGTACCTCATGGGCAATTTAGACTGAAATAAGAGGGCTCTTGCTGTCTCAAGGAGGTATTTGTGTTTTCTTTCAACTATGCCATTTTGTTGAGGTGTATATGGACAAGATTTCTGGTGTATTATTCCTTTTTCTTGGAAAAAATAAGTGGCCTCAGTAGAGGTGAATTCCAGACCATTATCAGACCTGATGGTCTTCAATTTGGTCTGGAAGTGATTTTCCACAAGACATATGAAAGCCTTGATTGTTTGTAGAGCATTACTTTTGCACCTCAGCAGTTGTGTCCAAGTTGATCTAGTGAAATCATCTACCATGGTTAAGAAATAGTGATAACCATCATGAGTAGGAATGTGGTATGGTCCCCATAGGTCAATGTGAAGTAACTCAAAAGCTTTACTAGTGAGAGTTGTGCTGTCTGGGAATGGCATTCTAGGTTGTCTAGCCATGGGGCATATAGCACAAGTGAAAGGTTGTTTGGTAGAGAAAAGATCAGGTATAGTTGGAATTCTTTTCATTTTTACAAAAGGTACATGACCTAGTCTAGCATGCCATATGAGTTCATCTGTGTGAGAGTTATCAGACTGAACAATAAAAGAAGAACAATCAGTAAGATGACATGAAGAAGAACCAGGTTTGGGACAATCATCTTTATTATCAACAGGACAATGTCTTACAGTAGATGATGTTGAAAACTCATTACACTTTACTAAAGAGGGAACAAAAGTACAATGACTGGAAATGACATGAGGTCCTTTGCTCTTAGTAGAAGATGAACAACAGTTGTGGCACTTTGAACAGAGGAAATAGAGGCCATTCTTGGCTCTACCAAGTTCCAGAGGGCTCTTCAGAGAAGGGCCCTGCAGTAAACAAGAAAAA